ACTCATATCTAGCTTTGAGCCACTGTTGTCTGTGAGAAATATAACTGCACTGCTGACTCTGTAGCAGAGAGAGAGAGAGTAAAGCCATGTCCCAACTGCATAAAATCCCTGGAGTGTTCTTTTAGCTACCTGCCGCGTGTCCATCAGCTCTCCTTAGACCCCCAGCTTGGGCTGAAACCTGACCATATTGCACAAGGAAATAAATAATAATAGTAAGTAGCACTTACATAACTCTTACTATGTGTCCGGAACTGGTCTTGGTACAGTAGGGAGTCAGACATGAGCAGGGCAGGAGAGGCTTCCCCCTATACCAAGAATATCAGGCAGCAATCAAGTGATGGTCAGGTGGTTGTTATATTGTCTCTCTAAAATAATGATTGGTTGCAGTCAGTGCCAGGGAAAGACAGTCTCCCAATAGATAGAAAACACTTGAAACTCATGATCAGAAGCTCCCTGGTAAGATCCCAGGAACTGAGCAAGTGATCTTAAGCATGCAGGCTAAGAGCCCAAATTGTTGAATTTAACTGGTATATGACCTTCCTCTTGGAACACTCAACTTGTAAGGGGAAAATGCCCCAGGTGAGCATGTGTACAATTTCAGTACACACACTGTACTTGTAGCCCGTCCCAAGTGCTGGCAACCCTTTGCACATGCAGACAGCCCACACAAAGGTAAGATTCAAGGAAGAAGGGATGTAACACTGCAGAAACATGCCAACATATAAAAACTCCAACTCAAAAGTCAAAGTTTCCACATGAACTTCTCGAGTTGCCCACTTAGCCCTCTTCCAACTTTACCTTCTTTCATTCCCGCTTTAAAATGTTTTAATAAGCTTTCACTCCAGCTCTAAAAGTTGCCTCAATTTCTCCCTCTGCCTTAGACCCTTCAGTGGAATTCTTTCTTCTGAGGTGGCAAGAACTGAGGTTGCTACTGGACCCTGTGGATTTGCTGCTTCCAACAGTCTCAGTACTATGTATTTATATATATATATACCTTTGTAAATGCATATCTATTTACAAGAGTAAATACACACATCTATTTACAAAGGTAAAGATACATATTTACAGAAGTATATATATATTAAATATATGCTATATAAAATATATAAATATGTGATGTATACATATAAAAATATATGGTGGGTTTGTGTGTGTGTGTGTGTGTGTGTGTGTGTATATATATATATACACACACACATATACTTAAATATAGACCTTATAGACCATTATATATGTATATATATATGTTTATATACCTTATATAGTATATATAATATAGATGTAATGCATATAAACATAAAAACATATATGAAAAGGTATATATATAAAATATATGGCAAAAATATATAGTATTTATCTATGTGTACTTATACATTTATATATGTGTACACATATTTATATAACTTATATTTTTATATATGGTATGTACTATATATGGTATATAAATAATATACAAAGGTGTATATATAAATATGTATGCTTATGTATACATACGCCTTAAATATGTATATATTTATACCTTATATACCTTTATATATTTATATACTTTGTATATCTTTATACAAATATATATTATATGCTTTATATATGTAAATATTTATGTATATTTACATATATGATTACATATATCTACACTAGACACAAATATATAAAAATTGCATAAAAATATATTTTATATTTATATGTCTATAAATATGTAAGGTATATATACCTTATACATTTTTAACATGTTTTATTTATATAATATATTCATAAAGTATATATTTATATGCATATAGTCCATAAATACGTATATATATTTAACCTTGTAAATACATATATGTATACCTTTGTAAACATGTGTATATTTACCTTTGTAAACATGTATATATACCTTTGTAAACATATATATTCACATTTGCAAACATATACTTACCTTCATAAACATGTGCATGTATGTATATATATATTTATCTTTGTAAACATACATGTATTTACCTTTGTAAATATGTTTGCATGTGTGTTTATACATATGTGTATGTATATAGACACATATATGTACTTGTTCCTCTTATATAATCCCTAGACAGGTACTATTCTTATCTGCATTTCACAACTGAGGAATCTGAGAGGCATGTTAAATAACATGCCCAGAATCAGTAGCTAATAGGTGGCAGGTGAGGATTTTGTGTTTTTAAAGACCACATTTTAAGTAATTAGAAATTTGGATGGATGAAAGTTGGATAAATGAAGCTTTGTTTTGCCAGGTAAATGCATGATTTTAGCTTGTTATCACTTTCTCATGTCACCATGAAAGGGTAATAGCAGAGTGTTCTGTAGCCACTTAGTGTATTGTTTATCAGCCAATTCTGTGATTGCTACTTGACAGCAAGTCAATACTTGTTACTTGCAAATGTTTTCATTTGTTTAGTGATCCCAAAATTTACATTCCTTCAATGTCAAATATTGAGGTATAATCCAGTCTTTACTATTAAATGAATTAGCTAGATGGATCTGTAATGTTTCTGATGAAATTAGATTCCATTTTCTGTGCAGTCTGGTAGAGGAAATTACAGCATTTAATTCAATGAACTGTGAGGACGGACTGAGTTTCATTGACTTGTTCACCATTTTTCCTTCAGTGTGGATTTTGAAAACGTATTTATAGGTATTTCCAATTAAAAAACATTGAATTTCACTACACGAATTTGTGTTAGTTTCTTTATAAATATTTCTTAAAATATTGTATATTATAAATTGCTTATGTATAAATAAGCTATTTGTATATTTTTTGACATCAAATATATCTTAGATTTTTAAGCTAAAAAGTTAAGGTACAAGGCTGCCAAACATTCCACCATCCTACTTATACTATATTGGCCCTTATGTATACTTTAAAATTTTATAAAATTTGAAAATAAAATGAACAAATGTGCAAGAGGCATCTTCTGTATGTAACCTTTGGATTTGTCAGGACTTACTTTATATCCTACAAAGCATAAGTATGAGAATTTTATTTGTAAAGTATATTTTAATGTAGATAGTCAATTCAGTCAAACAGTTACAGTATCCCTTGGTATTACTTCATTGCTGTATTTTCGTCTTGCAGATTTATAATCCAAAAATAACCAATATTTGTTTAAAACAATGAGCTATAACTCTAAGTAATAATAAAGGAAGATAAGTAAATAATGCTAATCTTAATTTTTGTAGTAGAAAGACAGAATTTACAAAAATCTTTAGGCTTTCTTAAAAAACATATAATTGAGGGAAGTCTCAGACCTCATTCATGAGTTTATTATAATTTTGATTCCCAAACTGAACAAGGTCAGTTCGAAAGTTACATATTAGTCTCAGTTATTGATGTAAACTTGATAAGCAAAATATTTAAAAATTGATTACCTTATATATAAAAATATTTTGTTAAAATAGCTATATCAGGAAAGCAAATGTAGTTCATTATTGTAGTTGGTATCAGTATGATTTACTATTACACAAGATTAAAGAAAGAAACAATGTTAAGATCTCTCAAAAACTAAAGAAAAATATTTGATGAAATTCTGCACTTATAATGAAATATCTTAGAAAATAGAAGCTCATAAAAACCTCCTTAATTTGATGAAAAACATCTACCAAAATACACGTCATTGAAGATGTACATTGTATGGATGAATCTTAATTGACATGGAATAGTCTCTTGCTCATCTCCAGAGACATTTATAAATGCCATAGAATGTATTAACTAAAGATAAATGATGTTCTATAAGCATGAATCTGTGAATTGCTCCCAGGCAGGATATATTATCTTCTGAGCATTTGGTTTGGGTGATACATGACTCGTAGCCTTGCGGAGGGGCATTCAACACTGAATGCTGGAATTTACCACCTGCCCAGTTCATTAGAGACCACACCACTAGCATATTTTTGGGCATCCTGGTACCTATGTGTTTTGAAGGCACGCAGAAGTTAAAGACTTGAGGACAAAGGTGCAAAGGCCTTGAGGCAGAAGAATGCTTAATGTATCCAACTGTCAGTCACCACAAGGGTTTGTGAGACTGAAATTGGAAGGAAAAATTGAGAGAGGTGGTAGTATAGGTTTTTGAAAATATGTAAAATTTTGAGATTCACTCAGAATGACAGACATCACTGGTGCATCCTTTGTGATGCAGTAGTGGGAAGGCAAAGAAGTCTGTGCCTAAAATTTCAGGACTCTTTTCATGAATAACCTACTTATGCTATTGCTGTGCTGTGTCCTTTGCTGTGATGTAACTGTTTAATAAGAAAAAACGAAGCTCTAAAACAGAATAATCAAGATCTCTACAGATTTTTGAGTCTTTTGTTTTCTTTTTAGCAATCAGACACTTAAAGTGGTTAATGCATAATTACCACACAATAAAAGTATAGAAATGTTACTTTTATGATTAGAAATAAAGGAGGTTTTTTCTTTGTTTTAGTTAAGATTACTTATTTACAGAGAATAATATTTGGGTTTGATAGATTAAGAAAATAGGTGTCTCTATTTCTCACATAATGGAAATTATGGAGTCAAACATTTACTGGGGTCAAATAAGAGGCTTAAAAATATCAGTGATGCATCATAAAGCTTATTCACTGTGATCAAGACGGCTTCATCCCTGGGATGCAAGGCAGGTTCAACATAGAGAGAAATCAGTAAATGTAATCTATCACATAAGCAAAACAAATGACAAAAACCACATAATTATCTCAATAGATGCAGAAAAGGCCTTCAATAAAATTCAACATCCTTCATGCTAAAAACAATAAACTAGGTACTGATGACACATCTTAAAAATCATAAGAGCTGTTAAAATGTGTGTTCTGAATGAAGAAACCCCCAAACAGTGTTTGTGTGAGCAACATGGCTGTTTATTCACCTGGGTGCAGGTGGGCTGAGGCCAAAAACGATGTCAGCAAAGGGCAGTGGGATAGGAGTTGGTTTTATAGGTTTGGAGTGGGCAATGGAAAGTTACAGTTTTCTGTAAGCTAGGAAGCGGTTGTAGATTTGCAAGCTGGGAGGGGATCATAGGGTATGGAGTCACGAGGTTGATCAAGGTTGGTTACAAAGTCAAATGGCCTTATCAATCAGGGCAGGAATAAGGAACAATAGAGAATGTCTCAAAGTTAAGTAAGCACTGCACGGGTTGATCATTTCTTTCTCTTTTCATGGTCTTCCAGTTACTTTAGATTTTCCAGAAACTCATCTGGAGTGTCCATGCAGGCCACAGAGGCTAACATGGCATCCATGCCACCATCAGTCAGCCTAAAAGACCTTACATTCTTGTCTTTTTCTATTAGTAATACAAAGGAAAAAGAAATGAAGAGTGGAGGGCAGTGGATTATCAGGAAGGGCAGCAAAGAGGGGTGATGGGGCGATGTTTCTCAGGGCTTCTTTGAGGGGGATTGGGGGCAGCACAGAAAACTAAAAATGGGAAAGAATGTAAACTGCTGGGAGATTTCAGGGCAAGGGGTGATATTGTGGGGTTGTTAGAAGCAGCATTTGTCATATTGACTGATTGGTTGTCGCTTGTATAAAATTTTGTAGGAATTGAGAGATCAATCAGAAAACATGGGGTCCAAATAAGAGAAGGAGAAAGATAGTATCAGAGGGCTAGGGATTGGAAGAGCCGTGATTCCAAGTTAGAGTGTCCAGCCAGTCCAGCCAGGTTTAGTTTATTGATGGCATCATATAAGAGGCCGGACAGGTTTACCTAAGAAAAAATGAAAGTGCCATATTCTGGCCATTTGGATTGAGGCCAGGCCATGTGACAGAGACGTTTAGGTTTCATATTGGGTGACAGTTGAAGAGCTTTTAGGTTTTTAGGATGCAGGCTAGAGGTCCAGACTGAGGAATAGAGGGCAGAATATTGCCCCTGGCAAAGGAGGTAAATTTTAAGGAAAGGAGTAGAGACTAGGAGAAGGAGCAGCTACCAGGTTTTTGGTAGGCATCCCTGACGATTCCTGGGCTGTAATGTGGGTGAGTGATCAAGGCAGGCGTCCTGGCAATTGAACAGACACCAAGGGGAGACCATCTTCACAAGTCTGTGACCGACGCTGGAGTTTTAGAGTGAGAGGGAGAGACTTGCCTCCTCTGGCTTCTACACGGATAGAGGGTCTTTGTCTCTACTAGAAAGATTTAGAGAGAGAGACTTGTCTCCTTTTCTCTAAAGGAAAAGAGAGAGAAAGAGGGAGAGGCTTGTCTCCTCTTCTCTGAAGGAAAAGAGAAAGATGGAGAGACTGCTTACCCAATCTGAAGGTGGGAGGAGAGCTGTTTGGTTCGCTCTGTAGAATATTTTTTTTTGACAGCTAGGATAGGGGAAGAAATTTAGGCTTTGGAAAGGGATACACGATACTCCTTTGAGGTACTGGTGCTGGGCGGGGTAAGAGTGGTTAGGTTTTTAAGGGGATGATAAGGGGTAAGTGACTTGTAGCAGCGGATGGGGAGGTGGTTTCCCGCATCCTAGGGTTAAGATAGGGGGACGTAAGGGGAGCTATTGAGGAAGGTGGGGGTTCAGGGAGGAGGGCGGCAATGAGGTATAGCTGTAGCCCAGGAATAGTTAAGGAGGCAGACAATTTTGATGGGATATCTCTGAGTAACAGGGGAACTGGACAAGTGGGGATGATTAGATGATTGGGAAAGAATGTGTAAAGGAGTGCTGGCCTAATTGACACAAGATCTGGGCAGTTGTGAGAGGCCTGGAGGCCTTGCCATCAATTCCCACAGTAGTTATGGAGGCCAAGAAAACAGCTCCTTGAAAAGAAGGCAGCATGGAGTGGGTGGCCTCGGTGTTAAGGAGATGCACTTACCCTCCACTGTAAAAGTTACCTGAAGCTCAGGGTCTGTGATCATCCAGGGATTCTCTGAGATGTTCAGGAAGCGTCAGTCTTCAGCCGCCAAGCCAAGGAGATCTGGGAAGGATTCATTCTGGGAGTTTTGGGTAGGAGCTCTGGGAGCAGCAACTTGAGTTGGATCGTCCAGCTTCCAGCGGGGTCCCCCGCAGACAGGATACGGCTTAGAGAGGACCTTGGGATGTTAGCATTTGTCAGCCAATGTCCACGCTTTTGGCATTTGAAGCAGGATGGAGCCCTAGTCTCTGGGGACTCCCTGGCCCAGTGGCCAGTTTTCTGGCATCTGAAGCAACACTTTGGGGGAGGAGGTCCTGAAGAGAAACCTGGTTGCTCTGGATTTGGTAGTCTGAAACTTGTGCAACCTGAAGGAGAGGCTGGGGTCTGTCTTACAGCATGGGCAAGCATTTGTAATTGTGAAATATGCTGCCACTTGGCAGCCTCTTCTCAGTTATTCAATACCTTAAAGGCGAGGTTGAATAAATCCTGTTGTGGGGTTTGAGGGCCTGTGTCTAGTTTTTGAAGTTTTTTACTAATATCGGGGGCAGACTGGGTAGTAAAATGCATATTAAGAATAAGGTGACCCTCTGGCCCCTCTAGGTCTAGTGCTGTGAAATGTCTAAGAGTTTCTGCTAGGCAGGCCATGAATTGGGCAGGATTTTCATGTTTACCCTGGGTAGTTTCTTTAAGCTTGTCACAATTAACGGCTTTGTAAGTCCCTCCACCAAGCAAGAGACCATAGAGTCATGCTTGCCGATCTCAGCAAGCCCACCTGGTATTGCCATTGGGGTTCTTCCCTAGGTACTGCCCTGACACCTTCTTGGAGGGTTGACTGATGGCATCTGCAGGTGTCAGCGTATTGAGCCAGGGTATAAACCCTGTTTTGTTCAACTGGAGAAAGAGTAGAGGTTAGAACGACATTTAAGTCATTCCAGGTTAAGTTGTAGGACTGAGTTAGGTATTGGAACTCTTGGATATATTTAGTGGGATCCTATGAAAACCATCCTAAGTGCTGACTAATTTGGGACAGATCAGACAGAGCAAAAGGAACACTCACCCTAACTGTGCCCTCAGCTCCAGCCACCTCTCAAAGGGGAAACATTGGACGGAGGAGGGAGATCTAGTTTTAGGACTGAATTGTGTCCTGGAGCGGGTGTGGGATGCAGAAGTGATAGAGGAGATATATGAAGGAGAGGATGGGGCGGTGCGGAGATTCGGGTTCAGTTCGGCTTGCTAAGGGGCAGCCTGAGGGGGAAGGGAAAGATCAGAAGGGTCTATTGACAGTGAAGGATCTGCCTTGGCAGTAGAACAGGGGGCACGGGTGGAAGGCAAAGAAGAATTTGTGAGGGGTTAGACTGGGAGTAGAGATGGGAAGTGAGCGAAGTGTGAAAAATTCCTGGACATAGGATACTTCATACCATTTGCCCTTTTTACAACAAAAGTTGTCTAAATCCTGCAGGATAAAAAAATTGAAGGTACTGTTTTCTGACTATTTAGAGCCATCGTCCAATTTATATTGTGGCCCAGTGGTATTGCAAAAGAAAATAAGACACTTAGGTTTCAGGTCAGGTAATAGCCGGTGACGTTTTGAGGTTTTTAAAAATGCAGCCTAAGGGAGAGGAGAGTGGAATGGAGGGCGGGAGGTTGCCCATAGTTTAAGAAGAGCAGCGGAGATAAAGAAAGTGAATGCACGACCAAGCAGCTGAGCAGGTGTCCTGGACAAAACCTTGGTCTGAATCTGAGGTGAATCAGCCAAATGGGGCATCCCCCGCATTGATCTGTCACCTATGAGTGTGAGTGAGTAACCAGAGCAGACGTCTCTGCAATGATGAGTCACTGAGGGAAGACTCTTACGGGTTCCGTGACATACACAGGAAATTTTCCAGTCATAAACCTCATGGAAAGTCCTGTCTTTCTTGTCTCCCTTGAAAGTGAGAAGGAAATAAAACTGATAGGTTGACAGGTGGTGAGGGGCTAAAGAAGAGAGTTGAGGCAAACCACTTACCTGACATGAGGATGGTGAGTGGATGCATGGGCTGGTCTGAGAGACTAGGTCGTAGGTAGGTCTCTTCCTGGAGGGAACACAAGAACAGGGAGAGGGGTTTCATCTCCCGTAGGAGATCCCCTATCCCAGGTTTCAGCACAAATGTTAAAATGCTCTTGCTAAATGAAGACACCCCCGCAAACAGGCTTTTTGTGAGCAACGTGGCTGTTTATTAACCTGGGTGCAGGTGGGCTGAGGCAGAAAAGGACATCAGCGAAGGGCGGTGGGATACGAGTTGGTTTTATAGGTTTGGGGTGGGCATTGGAAAGCTACAGCGTACGTGTTTTTTTGCAAGTTGGGAGGGGGTCCTAGGGTGTGGAGTTACACGATTGACCAAGGTCAGTTACAAAGTCAAATGGCCTTATCAATTAGGGCAGGGATAAGGAACAATAGAGAATGTCTCAAAGTTAAGTAGACGAAGGGATTGATCATTTCTTCCTCTTTTCATGGTCTTCCAGTTACTTTAGATTTTTCAGGAACTCACCTAGAGTGTCTGTGCAGGTCACACAGGTTACCATGGCATCCATGGCACCATCAGTCAGTCTAAGAGACTTATAAGAGCTGTTTATGATAAATCCATAGCCAGTATCATACTGAATGGGCAAAAGCTGGAAGAATTCCCTTTGAAAACTGGCACAAGACAAGAATGCCCTCTGTCACCACTCCTACTCAAAATAGTTGAGAGTTCTTGCCAGGGCAGTCAGGCAGGAGAAAGAAATAAAGGGTAATCAAATAGGAAAAGAGGAAGTCAAATTGTCTCTGTTTGCAGAGAATACGACTGTATATTTAGAAAACCCTATTGCCTCAGCCCCAAAACTCCTTAAGCTGATAAACAACTTCAGCAAGGTCTTAGGATACAATAATAGACAAGTAGAGAGCCAAATCATGACTGAACTCCTATTCACAATTAGCTACAAAGAGAATAAAATACTTAGTACTACAACCCACAAGGGACATGAGGAACCTCTTCAAGGAGAAGCACAAACCACTGCTCAAGGAAATAAGGGAGGAAACAAAGGGAAAAACCTTCCATGCTCCTTGATAGGAAGAATCAGTATAGTGAAAATGCCCATGCTACCCAAAGTAATTTATGTGTTCAGTGCTTTCCCCATCAAGCTATCATTAATTTTCTTCACAGAACTAGAAAAAATGACTTTAAATTTTATTTAAAGTAGTTTTAAACTACTCCAAATTTCATTTTGGAACCAAAAAAGAGCCCATATAGCCAAGACAATGCTAAGCAAAAAGAACAAAGCTGCAGGCATCAGATTACCTG